CCCCCAAAATAAATAGTAGCCCTCCCCAAATAATTGAGGGGTTTTGCCTAGATGCATTGTTTATATTGCTCATCTTCCCTCAGCAGTGTATGCTGTTATCAGTCACTCTATAGACTGATACCAGCTGACTTAGAGCAGTGCCGAAGAAAACCAGGTAGAGCTGATCTACAGTGAGCTCCTCTCAACCGACCTGCTCTCCTGCAATGAGAGTCTTTTTGGCAGGATTATCACACAGACTCTTTTTCCTCAGATTAATAGATGTGGTGGCTGTCAGCCCCTAGTTTCTTGAGCACACAGATATCTATGGCTGTGTATTGGAGGGCAGGAGGGAAAAAAGGAAGGAAGGAACCCGCTTAATGGGTTGTTTTTTACTGTGTTGATGCAGAGGTTTGCTTGGGTTGTATCCTTGTAAATCCTCAAAACACTTAATTTAAAAAATTGGCAGTGCTTACCTGAGGATGCCCGATACATAATCACATTTTGATAAAGAAAAGTCAACATCTTTGATTCAAACTCAGCACCCTGGAATGCTAGGGTTTATTGAGTGAATAAAAGAGGGTAGACTATTTGAAAAGTAAACGTGTTTTCATTGGGGCGGGGGGAAAGTAAACATGTTTCTTGTGTTTTGTTTTCTTTTTCAAACAAAACGCTCTAGATTTGGATGTTGATACCTTCCAAATTTACCAGCCACAGCTTACAGTTGCCAGAAAGCTCTTGTCCCAGGTTTGTGCTATAGCTGACAGCGGCAACCAAAGCCTGGATCTTGGCCACTTCAGCAAAGTAGATTTCATCGTGGTAGTTCCGCGCTCGGAAGTCCTGGTGCAGCAAACTCTGCAGCGAATTCGACAATCAGGTAAAAGGGAACAGGAGGGAAAAGAGGGTATTAAATCACCATGTGTGTGATTGATATCAAATCTTGCCTGGTAGAAATGGAAAAATAAGCTGCTGCAACACATATTCTGAAAGCCCTAAATTGGCTTCATTAGTTGGTATCATCCATAAATTCAAAGCAAATCGTTTCATCCGTAAATTCAAAGTAAATCCTTTTCACATATTATGCCTGTGCTACACCATGTGAGTGGCAAAAGAAGTGGACGTGTTTGGGCAGAGCTGAGGAATATGTGACCCGAAGAAACATTCAGCTCTCAAGAAAGAAAGCAGATGAACAATTATGTCTTTTTAGGTTTTTTATTCCTTGGAATGGTTAATGCCGTTTGCTCTAGGTATGCGTCTGTGCATTTGCTGTCATGTGCATTAGCACAGACATATGTGCAGGAAGCTGTGCTTATTAGATAGAGAAATGATTTAGTAGATTTAGTAATACTTAAGCACACAGCAGTTGTCATGCTGTTTCAGCAGACGAGTTTTCTCGTCTGATGTTCCGTGCCTGACAGTGGCTAGCATCAAATGCATCAAGAGGAACAAGAAGGCTTTAGTGGACAGGAAAGGGAATATGTCCCTGTTGAAAATGACTGTTTTTATCCAGTCTTAGTGATTGACATGTGCCCTGAAAAGCATAAGAGTTTGTCCTTGGAGAAAATTCCAGTCTAATAGAACTATGGACTGTGTATATAAATGTCCAGTCCTTTTTAGCTCTTGATCTCTGATATCTGGCAATAATGAAATCCTTAGGACAACTGAATATTTTGGACTTTTTTGTTTGTTTGACAAGTTGATTTTTTTTTCTTCAACTTTAACTATTAATCCATTGCATTTGTGTTTGAAAAAAAGATGAATGGGAGATTCCGGTTTGGTACTTTTATCAGTAGATAGCTGGGTTTGTTTTTTGTCCTCTTATTTTCTAGTCTAAATTTATCAGTCCCAAACTTTTTAGTTGGGCAAATATTCCCTGGTATAGCTCGACTACGTGGTCCTTCTCCACATCTATTTTCTCTCTGCTTGATACTATTTTATTAGTTAAACAAAAGAATACAGGAGATTACTTGAAGTAGGGGCTTCTTTTCCTTTTTAACATGATTTAACATGATGTATTTTTGTTCTAGTCTGGTTGATTCAGATGTTTTCTTAATTTGCTGCTGCACACTAAAGCATAGGTTTTCTGAGAGCTGCTCGCCATGTTTGTTTCACACTTGTTTTATCTTTTTCAATGAGCTATGACTAATACCTGGGCAAATACGTGGTTGGTCCATGTTTCACAGGGGCTTGTTGTTCCTTCTTCAGTTGAAATGGCTGTCGAAGCCATATAGGTTACATCTGGCCTGTCTTATGAACGTGATGACTGCTATCATTACAAATACTGCAAGATTGTAATTGTCTCTTATTGACAGCTGGATATTATTGTTGAGGTAGGGCATGAAAAAAAAAGATAGGCAGTTTCATATAAATTTATGATTTTTGCAAGGGAAAGCTCAGGGTAACTTTTTCTGACTCCAGCAGTATTAATATGTTAGCTAAATATGGGGAAGTTAGGCCTAGTATAATGGAGCCAAATCAGTTCTGCTCTGGAAAATTTTGCAAAGGCCTGAATTTCTTTTTACTTTGGGGTAATATGAGAAGTCTTTGAGCTATTTGGAAGAGAGATAGAGCCAGGAAGCAAATTTTATCCTCCATTTTGAGAAAAGGCATTTTGACTGTGTTCCTCTTACTAGGGCATCTCAGACATTTGGCTGGATCCTGTTGTTGTCAAACTACCTACAGCTGACAGTTGCTGGATGCATTTTGAGGAAAAAGGATTTTGTTGTATTGTTCTTTTTGACAGGTGTCCTTGTGGACCTGGGCCTAGAGGACAATGGGACGGCATATCAGAGAGCTGAGAAATACGTGGTTCGGCTGGACAATGAAATTCAAACCAAATTTGAAATTTTCATGAGGCGAGTGAAGCAGAATCCATATACGCTCTTTGTGCTGGTTCATGACAATGCCCACGTGGATTTGACAAGGTAGCTGTTTCAGTGTATCAAAGGAAAACAATTACGATGTCTGTCTGTTAGTTTTTATAAAAGACCTTCTCTCTTAGCCAGAGGTTTTTGTATATCTCACACATCTGGGGCCCTGAAATCAAAAATGATATTTTTGCGCTTACTCTGATTCAGTTGAAGATAGGTGAAGTAGCTTCGGGATTTTCAACCCTAAATAAAGTTGTTCTTAGGGGTAAGTGCTAGTGGCTGAAGGCCAGGAAAAAGGACTAAATTCTGCATCTTTTGTTACTCCTCTTGCCTTTTTCCTCCTCACTCACTTTTTCTTAACTGGTCTACCAAGCTCAAACTCTCCCCTGTTCACAAACCAGTCGTGTTTCAGCTCATATTTTTATCCTGTATGATTGAGTTGCTCTTAGTATGAGAAGGCTCTCAAACACTTAAATCTTCTCATCTTCTAAAAAACTCCCTAACTACTGTAAGGAAAGAATTTAAAAAGCAGCAGCTCTGTTGAGGTATCATGAATGTTTTAAGCGTTTCATCTAAACAGCTAACACACATATCCACAGAAACATTTCTTCATACTAAGTCATAACAATGGAAAGAGAAAGCTTTAATACTGGAAAGAGAAAGCAAGTTACTATGTTCTTTTTCTATGGGTAAACTGTAGAGAAAAATCCTCATGGGATTCAGATATGATGTGAAAGCTTGTGAGACTCATGTGAGCAGAGCTTTAATAAATCAAATAGTTTCCTTGAAGGAAAACTGAAAATAGCTAAAGTAACATTCTTTCTACCTTGTTCTCCCCATCAAATCTGTGCCCTTGTCTTCACTAGACACTGAATTTGGAATTATGCCTTGCAGGTGAAGGTAATTTCCAGGAGCTGAAAATAGGACATCAGGAGACTACAGTGTTCTCCGAGCTCTTAGAAAAACATTATTTCTGGCTGAAGGATCCAGTGAATTTTGTAAATTTGTTGCTATATCCTAACCCTGTTGCACAATGTTTTTCAGTGAGAAGAGGTTTCACTGGGTTTTGGCTTATTTTAGTTTTCCTGCATGTGGTGCTCTTTTAAACCGGCACATTAATTCGGCTTCTCGCTGTCCAGGGATTTTGCTCTATTATTTGGTTTTCCTTCTCCTTGCACCTGCGTCTACCCCCAGAGAACACTCAAATGGTTTTGACATCTTTTGTCCTTTCGAAGACTTTTTTGAGCTGTAGTTCTGTTTCCTGGTTATCCAGAAGTTTTCCTGGAGGAGGAGCGTAAGCCGTTGAATCTAAGGATGTCAGTAAGGCAATTCTTTGCATTCTTATTTCTGCAGTGCCATTTCAAGTTCCCTGTCACATGGTGAGCCTAGTCATGGTCTGGCTGATAGAGTTATTAATTGCAGGGAGGTCCTTGAAGCATTCAACCTCCTTGTTCTTCAGGTCAGCTCTTTTCCTTACGCCTTGCAAACGCAGCAGTCCCGGATCAGCTCTAGCAATGAGGTACATTGGATACAATTTGACACTATGGTAAGTGTTTAATTGTTAAGCTGTGAATATTAATGCAAAATTTGCACGTGACAGAATCTAGCAGATAGATATTAAAGAAAAATATTAGGAGGGAGCTCTTTCTCTAATGGAATTTGTTCTCTCAAGCTCCAGATAACATTGACACTTAGGCCCAGAAACTGCACATCTTCCTTTGTCCATTGAAGTGAGGTGAACATAAGAGATGAATTTTTAGACTGGGGCCAGATACAGCTCTGTGGACTTGTCAGAAAGCTCTTGAGCTTGATTTTCACTTCCAAGTTGCCTGACTTTTGACTATAGTCAAACAAACAAGCTAGTGGAAATGGAGGAGTGAATGAATATACAATCAGACATCTTTTGGGCTGATTATAAATATAAACCATTATGGTAACCTGCTGAAATAAGAAAATTGTGTAGCCAATTTTTATTTCCAAAAAGGAAGAAATCAACAATTTTTGGTCCTCTCATTAACAGCAAAAGAAAGCAGGTGAGAGACACTCTGAGATTAATTGCATTTATAGTGATCACTGGTCAGATGTAGAGACACTGAGAACCATGCTATGTTTCCAGCAGATCCCTCATGAAATTTGTCAGGCAAATATTCTGTTTCCCTGATTTCTGTCAGCAGATTTACATTCCAGAAAAGAAAAGAAAAAAAAAGTTTCTCTTAGTTATTGGAGATGTACAGAGTCTGACAATGAAGAGTAGTTTTGGGGTCAAATAATCCTTGTGTTTTCAGATTCTATTTAAATGGTGAGAAATGAGGTAGAACCGTCAGTAGATAAAGGTAGAGATAGGGAGTCTGAAATGAATTAGCAGGGGTGGGGGGGGCTGTAATTGAAGGTAAAAGGTGTTTCCAAAGATAAAGTTAGAAATAATCACTTTACATTTTATTGTACTCCTTAAAACAAACAGGAAACATCACTGATGGAGAATGAATAAAAAGAAAAGATGCATTGCTCTGGAAAATGTTTTCCACTTTTTGTTCTTTTTAATGACAAAAGAAATGAAAATTGGCTCTGGCTTTTCATATGCTTTTGTTACCTCTGTGGAACAGGATGACACAGCAAGTGAAGACAAGCTGTACTTTGGCTTGAATGAATACAGCAAATCCCTCCAATGGGGAGTCACAAGTCCCCTTCTGAGATGTGATGAAACCTTTGAAAAAATGGTCAATACGCTTTTAGAAAGGTAAATGACAACCTGGGAGCTTGGGATTGTGTTTAATTGGGGTCTTAAGGACACAGATATAAATTATGAGCCCTGTTGTAGAAGGATGAAGACATGATGACATTTTTTATTGTCTTGGGATCTGTGAAGTATGTGCCATTTTTGTGTTTGTAATGAATTCAGTGCTTTAGAAGAAGGAGTGGCAATCCTCCAGTTCTTTATAGACTAGACTAGGCCCATTCAGTTGCTCTCCAGGCTCAGGTAGGCTGCTCTTTCCTTTTGGCTTAGTCCTCATTAAATTCAGGAGCCCTCACAGGTTTTGCACCTCACCACTTCTGGTGCCTCCGCTGAGGCTGCCAGCAGGATTATCAGCGATGGCCCTAGGTGAGTGACACCTTTTGAAAAACTTATTTTTTATTGTTTCTTTAGCTAGTGAGTGCTTTGGTTCCTGCAGCTCAAAGCCCAGCTTTATTTGCGCCTTATTAGTACCCTGCAAGCTCCTGAACACACTAGCTTCATAGTACCTATCCAAGCTCAACCTGAGGACACACTATGGGTACAAAGACAATACAGGGGTTTCCAGCAAAGTGGTGTTCATCTGGCCTGCGTCCCAGCTGGAGAGATCTCTCATAACTGTTGAAGCTGTCGTTCTCATTGTATTTGCATGTTTAATAAAATGGAAGTATTCTGTGTCTTCAGTACTGCTTTTTCTGTTTTATTTAGGTCAATATAGCAATTGTAAACGTAGCTGAATGAAATTGCACTATCAAATTTGTCAGCTTAGCTCCATAAAGGAAAAATTAAGGACATAGAGAAAAGGATGAAAAGGAATTTGTAATTGTGCACATACTGCCCTGATACAAAGTTAGGATAAGACTAGAAGTAGCGGGTGAGAGAGATGAACCTGGAATATGCTTTTGGGTCCAAGTTTGTTGTTGGGGCCTGTGTCTTCAAGGAACTGTGCTTTTCAGTCTGTGAGCTATACAGGCTTATACACCTGAAAACGTTTCAGACATTTTGATATTATAAGGAAAATCCCAATTGTTTTAGTATCAAAATAGCAGTAAGTACTTCTAGGGAAGGAATTTTTTTAATTATTTTTATTTATTTATTTATTTTTATTGATTTAACAACTGGTTTGTGGTTTTCTGAGCTATTGTACCTGGTCAGAAGAAAGACACAGTACTTTATTCAAGTGGATCTTATGTGCTCTATTAAATTACTCAAGAAGTTACGTAGGAAATTTGGAGGGTTTGTTTAGTTGTTTAGACTTTTGTAGCAGAAGGTTAGTACTAAAGCCACGGTAGTGCAGTGTTAAAAAATCATGTTGCAAGCAACTGGTTTGCTCTGGTAGATCTGTATTAGCTATCCAGAGCTTACAAAAACCTGATGTGTCTCAGGGCAGCATCAATTCTGGTGAAAGACCATTGTGGTAACTGGAATTGCCTCCTACTGTTTTCAGGTCTTGCATTTGCAAAAGCCACACAGGAAAAGTTACTGCCAATTGGCTGACATGTCATAACTCACTAGTATCTCTAAACTGTAAAGGCTTTTTCTGAACACTATAGCAATGACCAAGCTCTTGGTGAACTAGGAAACTAGGAGTCAACTTTTTTTGTTTTTCTCAAATAGCTTTTAATGTTCTTTTTCATAGCATTTTACTTTGTGAGATGGTGTTTGTTGTCACTTTTGAGTATAGCTGCTGTGAGAAAGAGGCACTGCCTGTCTAACTTAAGGTGGAGTGAAAGTTAAGATTTGACTGAGAGCCAGGAATATCTTTTGGTAAATTTAGCTTTCTAGTGAGTGGTGTGCGAGACTGGAAATTATGAAGTGCTTCTCCCACAAATCCTTTGAAACAGTGATGGCTCTCCATGTTCATAGAAAAAAAACTGCTGGCCAGGGAATGGTGGTAGTGGTTATACAGTTGGACTTGATGATCTTGAAGGTCTTTTCTAACCGTAATAATTGATTCTGTGATTGCCCAGTGCTGCTGGAATGAACAGCATCTGAGATGACCCCTATCTCTGTCTTAGTCCAATTTTATTTTTAGTACAAGTAACAGAAGCTTATCATTTATGTTACCAGAGGGCAGGTCTTGTCTCCTTACGCTCTGCGTTTGGTCAATGTTTTATGCCTTTTTCTGAGGTCCAGTTAGATTTTGTGCACAGTTGTTGTCCACAGAAACCTTCATTCTTTGAGCATCGCGGAGTAAGCGGGCGCTTTTGAGCTCTGCGTTGGCCGCCCGTGCTTTTGGCAGCACTAACACAGAACCGTGTCTCCTCCAAGGTACCCCAGGCTGCACAGCATGGTGATCCGCTGCTACCTGCTCATCCAGCAGTATTCCCAGGCCCTGATGGCCCTCACCACCATGGCCTCGCTGCGGGATCACAGCACGCCCGAGACGCTCAGCATCATGGACGACCTCATCTCCTCGCCGGGGAAGGACAGGAACGGCTGCGGCCACATGCTGGTCATCAGGGTGCCCTCCGTGCAGCTGGCCATGCTGGCCAAGGAGAGGCTGCAGGAAGTGAGGGACAAGCTCGGCCTGCAGTATCGCTTTGAGATCCTCCTTGGGAATCCCGCGTCGGAGCTTACTGTGGCAAAACATTTTGTGACACGGTTAAAGGTCAGCAGAACTGAAGTACTTCTTTGTGCGCCCGTTGTAGCCTGTTGTGTGCGTGTTTCGTGTGGTTTCCTACACATATGTGTATGTATAAGTCAATTGTTCTGTAGAAAAAGGGTGCACGTTCCGTGTCTTTTTCTGTGGAAGTGCAGCATACTTTTCATAATCATAACCAATTTAGAAACGCAGAAAAAAATTAAATTGTTACTGGTCTGTGAAGTCAAATACAGGAACAAAGAAACACTTGTTAAAGTGGAGTAATAGCGTAAGAAGTCTTAAAGAGCAGATAGGTTTCATTGAATTTCCGAAAGCAGAGCTCACATCTCCCTAGGGAAACTAATTCTTTCCACACATTTATCTGTCTGTCTAGTTTATCTGTCATCTGCTCTCTTCCATCTTCTGCCTTTCTGATACCTGGTAAAGGACTCTGTTTTTCACAGGCTTCTCAACTCACTGCATGCTGAAAACCTCTTCTGCACCACCGATCTACATGAGGCTAAACTTTTGCACAGATTTAAAACAGCATGCTACTTTTTGGCTCCTAGCCAAATCTTTTTCTATGAATTAAAAAACTGGAAACTGCCTTTCTTAATACCAGCCTGAAAGCAATTCTGGTTATTTCTCCTGACCCCTGCTCTAAGTCTCACACAGAGATTCATCTGTTTTTTCTACTACAAGTTGTTTTATGTGTTCAACATAGGAAAAGGAATGAATTTTGTGCATCTTCCTCATAGAGCTTGTCTGCAGTCACAAACAGATAACATGTTCTTTAAGCAAGCTACTGCCTCTGCTTCTCAAACCTTTTCTGCAGCAGGAAAGGGAAGAGAGGAAAGGAAAAGTAGGGAAGGAAGAAAACAAGTTGTGAGCTAAGAGCTCTGAGGTGCTGGATTTACTGGCTAGAGGCTAGACACCCGTAAGTCGTTCTGGGCTGCGCTGTGAGGATTTCTTTGTGGCCCTTGCCCCAGGTTTGCATCCCTTACACATTGCTGGGGCAGCCTGGGAAGGTCACCTGGAGTTTCTGCCCGTCTGCCACTCCTGCTAGTCTGGTGCCTGGGATAACGCAGGGTATCTAACGTGGTAGCGGCTTATGAAGCTAATGCCCCTTCTAAAGTGCATCAGCTACGCTCTCATTGAGTCTGCATTTATTGCAGACCTTTTGATGTAGTCTCCTTGCTGCTTGGCATTCCTTCTGATGCCAAGGGCAGTGCAGTGCTTGGAGCGCTAGAGCAAGCGGGTGGTTGTGCTCTGCTCTCGCTGTGAGCGCCCAGACTGCCTCCGGAGCGGCCGGGCAGTGTTTGCCTACCGAGAGCTTCCTGCGGAAAAGGAGCCTTGGGATGCTGCTCCCACACATAGCTGCTGTTGTTTTCAGGGAGGATGAGATTCCATTCTGATTTTTTTTTCAGGGATTGCAGAGGGGAAGAGAGTCAGTTTATAGGTGTCAGTGTCCCCCTTTGGGATGTTAGGCTTAGCTTAGCCTCTCCCTGGCAGGGCAGAGGGAGCTGGCAGCAGCTCCCCTCTGGCCAGGCTGCAAGGTGGAAGGTGCACCTGAGGTGCAGAGCAAAAGAGGTGGTGGGAAGTAATTTAATTGTTTTGTTAACCAAGCATGTTGCCATGGCGGTAGAGGGCACCCTTTAGCTATAATAAAAAAAAATAAACACTTTGGGAGCTGTTCAAAAGGGAGGAACGTAAGGATGCAGTTCTCCATCCCTCTTCAGAAATGCATCTTCTGTATACAAGTTAAGTTTTCATTTCAAAGCCTCACACACTTAAAAAATATAAAATTAAAATAATAAAAAAAAAGGCCAGAAGAAGGAAAATCAGGAGCTTTGTATCTCTGTCTCCCTGTCTCATTTTCTAGCCTTGCATTTTCTTAGAAACTTTCAGCATTGGAGGAGCAGACGGACACAGAGCTAGACTCACCTTGCTGGGCCGCAGAACGTGTCTCTGCTGCCGGCTGCTGAGCGGAGCCCGTGCAGCTTGGCAGGGGTTGGAGACATTCCTGGTTCTTCCTATGAACCTGCTACACAGGGAATGCAAAAAAACTAGCAGGCTGCAAGGCTGGGGAAAGAGGATGGAACTGCAGCAGAAGAGGGTAATGCTGATCTGAATCATACTGTTCCTAAGCTCTAATTAAAAAAAAAAAAAAAAAAAGACAGTTATAGCTTTTTTCAAGTGAAATTTTAGGAAGGTAAAATAGCGCACTGAGTCACAGATGTGCTAGCGAGTCGTCCTTTTCATCCTCTTCATCCACCTGAGATGATTCATAAAATATGACCTTTTGAGGGAGGAGGAAGGGAAGGAGGAGAAGGACTCGTAGAGATCGAGAATGGAGGAATCAAGGGATAATTCTTGCAGGTTCTGTTTTCCACGAAGCCTGCACATGTCTGGTTGTTCTGTTGAGACAGCTGTGACTTGCTGTCTTGCAGATCTATGCAGGAATGAAAAAGTTCTTCTCCTCTTCTCCTCTTCTTCTCTTCTCCTCTTCTCTTCTCCTTTTTCTTTTCCCTTTCCTTGCCCTTTTTTTCTGAGTAGTTGCGTTTGCTTATTTGTTTTTGTTTTAGTATAGTATATTCTGAGCCTCAGCTGGATAGGAGTCTCCCTCACTGGTATTTGTCCATTATTAAGAAAAAGCAGGAAAAGATTTTCCCAGCAATGACATGTTGTACTTCAAATACCTGCTGATTCTGAAACCCTTCTGACTTAATTTCCTTGTCTGGAGAGACCGTAACTCTCCAAATGATACTGGAAGTGCCAAGTCTCTGGGTTATGTGGAAAGACAAGCTGTGCTGCTCTCCTGGTCAGCAATCTCAAGGGTTGTGTCATTAGGTCTCCCAGGCAGCACCCACAACACGTCGGTGGGGATGGCTGGACAGGCACCTGCGCTTTTGCATTTCAGCATCTTAATGTTTGTGGGACAGAATGGCTGCTTTCCTTCCTAAGGGAGAGTGCTTGCCTTTGGCTTGTACCAAGGAGGAGCATTTTTTTTGTCTCTTCCGTAAGACTGAAGACTGTGATTTTGTGCCTATGATTGCCCATGCCAGAATAACTTCAGTGTGCTCTGATCAGATGTGCAGTTGTTAATTTTGGTGCTGGTATTTGCCAACTGGTAGACTTGTTAAAGAGAGGTGGTGGCCTGCAGCATGGTCCCTGAGGAGCAGCAACTAATCAGAGAACGCTCACCTGTTTGGGTGTAGAAACTCAGTGTTTCAGCACTGCTTCCTTTCAAAGGTGCTCAAGGTACTTTTTGATCAAATATATATATATATGATCACTATGTCTTCTGTAAGTGTGGGCAGTCTACTATGCCATAATACAGCAAGTGAGATGTTGCTCGAGATAACAGCAGTGTTTTGGGGTGGCTGTGTTCAACGGACAGCACACAGATGGGCTCAGCCAGGGCCGCTAAGCTCCTCAGAAGCAAAGAACTGGAAGGTGGAAGATGTGGCACCAACACGAGCCATCACCCCACAGTGCTGAGGCAGAAACAACAGTCACGAGGTCTTGGGCCTTGGTAGGCTGTAGTCCTTACCCGTGGAGTCTCTTCCAATGAAAATGCAAATTTTGTTCTTTTATTTAATCTGTTGTTATATAGAATGCTTAAGCAAATATATGAGTATCACTGGGTCTTTTTCACATTCCACTTGAAGCTTTTATTTAAGCTGTACACTACTTTCTAAGAACTTACCTTCTATTTCAAGTTGACAGATATCAAATGATTTTTTTTTCTGACAGACCAGATTAATGCCACAGTAGGTATATGTTTCCAGCACCAAATAACATATTTTATACATCCTTTTTCTGTGCATTTAATGCTTGGCTAACAGTTGACTACCGGAAGAAATGCATGCCTGTCTGAAACTTCTCCTTCCAGTTGGCTGTTCAGTAATGCATACTGATGTCCCTACAAGACTGAGAAGAAGCAAGAACAAAAAACAGTCAAATAGGTGACAGTTTAGAAAGTGTAATTTAGATGTGACTGGAATATTCTCTATTCACAGGCTTGGAGGGGAAATGAGCCAGAAGACTGGATTCCTCGCACCTACCAGGATTTGGAAGGTCTTCCTTGCATTGTCATTCTAACTGGCAAAGACCCTCTGGGAGAAACTTTCCCCAGGTGCTGTTGTGATTCTTGCAACATGGTTGTTCCCTAAAATGTTTAGAAAAGTTTTTTTCTTTTCTTTTTTTTTTTCTTTTTTTTTTTCGGAGAGGATAAGTATATGGCTTGCTACTGGTGGCTGATACCATCTGTTTATTTTTTTCAAAAAGTCTATTTTAGACGAATCTTGTTGGGTACAGTTTAAAATTTTGTAAAATGCAGGTTGTAAAAAGTAAAGCTTCTGCACTGTGTGGTTCAGTGAACACCTGTTCATTCAAGGTATCAACAAACATAAATGTGGTGGGTGTTTTTAAATAATTTTATACTTACTAGTTTATAATGTTGCTTGTGAATATTTAATAAGCCATTAAAGATAGTGTTCAGAGAAAACAAAAAATTCTTTTTTCTTGTGTTGGATTTTCTAGGTCATTGAAATACTGTGACCTTCGACTAATTGACTCAAGCTATTTAACACGGACTGCATTAGAGCAAGAAGTAGGCCTGGCATGCTGCTATGTCTCCAAGGAGGCAATCCGAGGGCCTATTGTAGCTCTTGACCTTAGTGAGAAGGAGCATGAGAAGGTTAATGGTAGCGAGAATGATTCTGATGAGCTGCTGATAGACTTGGACAGACCCCAGAGTAACAGCAGTGCTGTCACTGGAACCTCAGGTCAGTTGTTTGTTCTGCTGTTGCTCTGAAGAGTGCCTGTTCAGTTGCCTGCTACCAGAGTTTGAATGTAAACGTGCATGTAGTCAAATAGGGGCAGTTGAGCTTCATCTTCCTGCAGGCCTAAAATTCTAGGGATACTAAAACGCTCAGTAGCTGTGGAGGTAGGTGTGGCTAAGTGAGGGTTAGGCCTTCTTGCAAAGACCAGCAGAATGCCTGGATGTGGCCTTTCTTCTTTGAGACTCAGTGGAAAAACTTACCTCACCAACCTTCCTGTCTTGCATTCTTCTGGTGCTTTTGGGTCCTTCTCATTGATGCCCCGTGTGTTTGCTGTGTTAAGACGAATGAATTGGGCTCTGTTATGTGCAGAGTCTTCGCTGTATATTAACTTAAAGCTGTCTGGTATGGAGGAGGGAACATAGTCCAGTTCACACCAAGGTTGCAGGGAAATGAATGCTTTGTTCTCCACAGCAAGGAGGGTCAAACTGCTCTGATGTGGTATGTCATACTAGCATTTCAGAAAGCACTACCATCAAATTCCAAATCCCAGCTGGGAAATGAAAGTTAATAAACACAGATTTGCTGTCATTTGGTATTGGGGCACTTCTGTTTGCACTCGGAGCACTAATTAGAAGGGCTGTTGCCTTTCCAGCAAGAAGGACAGATGGATGTTGATGATTTCTTTTTAAATGAAATGACCTTCTAACCTAAGCCAGGTAATGAGTTTGCCTAGGAGTTCTCGCTGACCAGAAGTGTCTGTAAGCTAGAATTGCCCCATACATCGGATGAGCTCATGTTTTATTTGTATTTTTTAATGTTAGCCAGGATTTGTTCACTGCCTGCTCCTTTGTTTCCCCAGGTTCCCTGGCTGACAACGGTGTGAGCTCCTCAAGTGCTGCAGACAAGACTCAGAAGCAGGCGCCATCGTTCAACTTTGAGGCTGTGGCCCACAGCTCAGTAGATGAGGGAACTTGCCCGGGTTCCACAGCTGGAGATGCCCTCAAGCAAGAATGTGACTCCCTGGCTAACCACATGGCTAGCAGCACCACTTCTAAACTGTCCTCACTGTCTTCTGTCTCCCAGACATTTCGGTGGCCTGGCCATTCGGGCAAGGACGGCAAGGCCCTCCGTGCCGCCCTGCCGCGCATTGTCATCCTCTCCAAAGCCGCCTACTGCCTCTTGAGCTCGCAGAAAACGGGGAATCTGCCTTCCTCCTCTTCCCTCCTGCCTCACGCTGACGTGTCGTGGCTGAGCTCCCTGAGGCCTTTGCTGCACAAGGACATGAACAGCGAGGAGCAGTCTCTGTACTACAGGCAGTGGGCGACGGCGCGGCAGCACCACGCGGACTACAGCAACCAGGGGGAGGCGTCCGGCTCGAGGAGCTTCCACCCCCGGCGGCTGCTTCTGACAGGACCACCACAAGTAAGAGAAGTTCCTTCCTCTTGCACGGTGAGAGGACTGGTGATGGGGACTGCTACAGATATAAGTGGGGATTATGCTTTAAAGGCCCCATACAAAATTGAAAAAAGTAATGAGTTTCTAGAGCAAAAATCTGTCAAACCTTCAGCTTGAATCCATACTGGAAGTGGTAAGGAGAAAAAGTGTGATTCTGTGTCACCTTTTAGCCTAAATAAAATGCATGGAAACAGGCATAAAATTGCAATGAGCATATCACTAAAGGAGTAGTTGACCGCTGCCCATCTCCCTATATACAAAAGTGATGCAGATGTGGGCCAGATTTTGCTCCTAGATCAATTCTGTAATACCTTTCACCTTAATGGAGAACATATTTCTTGTTCTGTTTTCAGGCAGAACTAGAATAGCAAAATAGGAAGAGCAAGCCCAAATACCTGTATTTGAAATGTAACCTTTCTTCATATTAGTCTGAGATGGAATTTGGACTTTTTTTCATCTCTGATTCAGGTGGGAAAGACTGGCTCATACTTGCAGTTCCTACGGATTCTTTTTCGCATGCTGATCAGGTTGCTGGAAGTAGATGTTTATGATGAAGAAGAGATTAATACCAGTAAGTAGTCATTCTTAATATGCATTAAAAAGAGTCTCTTAAAAGTGACATTTTTTAGGCACACAGAAAGACTTTGTAAAGTATACCTACCACTTTCCCTGTCCATTAATGGGTAACTAGACTTGATGCAGACATCTGCCTATATTTAAACATAGCCAAAGAAAGTGATAAATTTCATGTAGGGCTTATCTGAGAACTATTTTGATAGCACTGAAATCAAAGTGAATACAAAAATAAGGAGTCAACATCTGCCCTTGTTATCTCTGCTTCTAGATTTTAAGTGCCATTAGCTTTTAAACAGACAAGACAGATTAATAACATTCCTTTTCTGGCAGAAAGTTCGATATTGGTTGTGTTTAATTATACATAGGTACCGATTTCTGGTAAAACTGTCTTCTGACTCCAGAAGATCTTACACTCAGGAGAAAAGGGATGAGGGAGCCTCTTTGGATATCTCCTCATTTGTTGGATCTCCCAAGTCCATAACTGCTGTGGCAGGGCCCAGTTTTGGGATGCACCAACCTTTTAAAGGAAATGAATCTGCTTTAGGGTGTTTGTGCGGTTTTATAGTGAAGAGAGCTCCCTGAAGCAGAATTCAGACAGGCACTCAGAAAAGAGTTGTCTTGTAGCCTTGAAAAAAGACTGATTTCAATTTCTGCTCAGAAGGTGCTAATAAGTAAAAAATCGTGTTTTTTTTTTTTTTTTCCTGTGGTTTGGAGCTTTGGGTGCTGTTATTCTCTTGTTATTTGAACTTAAATATCTCAGAAACTTAGTATGGAGGATCAAAATGCAAGAAAGTTCCAACATCATGGGGTCCGGCCTGCTGTGATCACAACCACCATGTCACACCCCTGCCAGGAATGTACGAAGCTCCATCTGAAGAGCAGTTTGAGTTTACTTAGGGGTTTTTGGTTGTGACTTTTTGCTCCCACTGCTTTTACTGGAATGCTTTTATAGAGCCTTTTTGCTCTAATGATTGAAAATACAATTTTATTCTCCAACTCAAAGATGTTCCCTTTTAAAAAAAAATCAAAATATTTTTCCTTTCTTTGATGTTTGCTTCTATGATGTGTTCAGTGTGCAATCCTGTATGTGCTCAGCTTTCATCTAGGTAGCCTGAGCCAGCTTACGGATTACTCCTCACAAATGATGGACTCATTTTTTTCTCCTCCCTGATTTTGTATCTCTCCTCTATGAATCTGTTTCCAGTTTGGCTTTCTGGAAAAGGAGTGAGCAGAACTGCATGCAGTATTCTGCAGGAATGTTCAACCAACTCAGAGTACACCAGCTTTTATATTTCCCTGCCTCCACTGGAAGCCCATGACTGGTAGAGCCTATGATTGCACCTGTCCTTTTTCCTTCTGTTTCTCTGGCCCTGGTACTTAGCATGTACTCGTCAGTCCCTCTGCAACTCTGTCATTTCCAACTTAGTGGCACTCAACCTGCTCTAGAAATTCTTGCTCTTGGTCCTTGACTGTATATGTGACTCACATTTATCTTCTGATGAATATCACCCAGTTTCTATTACCGTAGTTTTCAAAGGCATTGAGTCCTTTCTGGATGACTTTCTGTTCTTCCTCTTATTGACAGTGATGAGATTTGTGTCACTCTCAAGCTTAAGCCATTGGTTTTTGAGCCAGTAACACTAGTAAAAATAACAGGCAACACAGCTGCTGCTGCAGCTCTTTAACTTTACTACCAACCTCCATCTGCCTTAATGCTTTTAATGTTACATGCTGCCATGTTTTTTTCAGCTGTACTAATAATTTTTCCTATAGTATGTTTTAAAATGCTTTACTTAGTTAAATCCAGAATGACAAAATGCATTGCATTTCCTTTGTTTAGAAAAACAGATGTATCATTAAAGAAAGTTGCACATGGCATTTCTTTGATCAACCCATGTTACACATTATTGCATTTTTCATTTACTTCTACATCTGTAATTATTTCCTTCACTCTCCCCAAGCTCTGAATCCCCAAGGTGAAGGCAGTGGACCCAGGGTGCTGTAGATCGTGTGTGCTATACTTGTGCTGAAATCGGGCTCCTCTCTGATTTCCCATGCCTGTTCACCCAGAAATGTGCCATGGAGATTGTTCTTTTATTCTGATTTGAGAGTAGCTTGTAGTAGCTTGCGTCCATTTTTGGATTGTAGTAATTTTCATTTTCATGCTTTTATTTTTGTTAATCCTTTGATTAACAAAAATGAACTTTTGTTCACTTGGAGACCTTATTGTCCTAATTCAAAAATAAATAAATAATTTTTAAAAAATTATTATTTATATAAGTCAGTGTAACCAAGCAAATCGTTCTCATGCTCTTTTCTGAGGTCTACCTCAGTTTGGCACTTGGCAAACCTTATTTTTGTTGTGCACTTGCTGACAGGTAAGACAGTACTTAATTTTCCAATAAGCTGTCTCCGTTCCTGGTGGACTTTTGTCTATTCTTGGTCCCATTTCTGATACAGCACCTATGAGACCCCTTCCTCTTAGCGCTCTCCCTGCACAGGTAGGCTGTTACTTGTGTTTGGCGACTGCAGTTCAAAGAAACTCAAGCCTCATTCTCACGAGGTCCCTGTTTCCCCAGTGTGGTTGCGTAGTGCGCCAGCTCCCTCGGGATTTTTTGCGTGCTCTAAGGAACAGGCCTCACCTGGCAGGTGGCTCTGCTGGGCTGAGCAGAACACGGTGCCAGTCAGGTGAACGGCCCCCCAGCTGCCCCTGCCCAGGGTCCGTTTAGGCCCATCAGGGTGCTATGAGCATGGCCTTGCCCGTAGACCCAGCCTCTAGTCTAAACCTGCCTTTCGTCTACCAGTAGCTCCAGTTGCTCACCTGCTTTGTTGTGTCCTCCCTCTGACTTGAAACCAAGTCAGCTCATGGTAACTCAGCCCAAGGTTGTTCTCTAGTGTGTCCAGTTCTGGGCTCCCCAGTACAAGAGGGATGTGGAGCTACTGGAGAGAGTCCAGCGCAGGGCGACAAGGATGATCAGGGGCCTGGAACATCTGCCCTGTGAGGAGAGGCTGAGGGAGCTGGGCCTGTTCAGCCTGGAGAAGAGAAGGCTGAGAGGGGATCTAATCAGTGTCTATAAGTACCTCAAGGGAGGCAGTGAGGAGGATGGGGCCATACCCTTTTCAGTGGTGGCCACCGATAGAACTAGAGGAAATGGCCAACAAACTGAAGCACCAAAAGTTCCACAGGAACTTAAGGAAAAATTTCTTAACAGTGAGGGTGACAGAGTGCTGGCACAGGCTGCCCAGAGAGGTTGTGGAGTCTCCTTCTCTGGAGATCTTCAAAACCCGCTTGGATGCAGTCCTGTGCCACGTGCTCTAGGTGACCCTGTGTGTGCAGGGGGATTGGACTAGATGATCTCTAGAGGTCCCTTCCAACCTTAACCATTTTGTGATTCTATGGCCAGTGTTTTGCAGTGCTCGTTACCTGCACTTGAGGCTTTCCTCTATCAGATCAAGGAAGTTCATCAGCCATCACAGTCAAGAATGTGCAAGCTCTGCCATTCCTGATAACTGTTATTTTCTACTTGGTATTTGGGAAGCTGTGGTTTTGAGATGTGTCCTGCTGTATCCAAGCTTTGTATTTCCATAGAGTTCCTTTCGTACACTGATGTCCTGCAATCTGTACCTTTGTTTTCAATCTTTATTTTTTAATATCTGGACACACCTTTCAGTGTGGTTCTGATCATGATGGCTCTACCATGTTAGCTCTCTTGAGTTCAGTCTAGTGTTCAGCTTCGTGTGTTGTTCCAGTAGTTTGAGTTTTCCCATTCTGATACCCAGGGTCCTGGTTTTACAGTTTTTTTTTCAGTTCCCATCTTTTGATGGGAGTGGCTCTTTCGCTATCTTTTTCCTGTACTCCAGTTTCCTGTACCCTACTTCTAGTTCGTAATTCTTCCCAGCCTTTTTCTCCTTGCTTTTCTCATTCTGCTCTAGTTACTTCCGCTTCTCATTTACTCATTGTTTTTCCTTCTCTCTACTACAAAGGGAGCCACAGAGAGACTGGAGACTTAACCTGTATCTTCTGCACAGATAGAACTGTTCATTTTAGCACTTTTATGTATAAACTAGACTGAATTATACCTCAGCAGTCTGGTGAGGAGCTATTTATGAGAACTTCTTCACCTCCACACACCTCCACACATGTTCCAAGGTATTCCCATTGGTTTGAAATGGTTCTGTGTGAGTTGTTATTTCAATTTTGGTTAATATTTATGACATTCAAAGATACCTCTTTTTGTATGTGTGTGCGCATATGAGTTTCATGCAATTCTAAATAGGCAAACATCATGTAAACACCTTTCAGTGAGTGGCTGATAAGGTCTGATACTGAAGTGTGTTGTTGCAGATCATACAGAAAACAGTGAAATTACTCAACCTAGCAATGACCATTGGCCGGATATTGAGATCTTCAGTAAAATGTCGTTTGACCTGAGCGTGCATGACCCCAAGTACAGAACTATAAGTCCAGTATATACGGAACAACTGTCAAGAGTGAAACAAGGTCAGTAAAAAATGTGGACTGTTGTAGGATACTTTCCTGAAAAGAATCGGAGTACTTGATTGGTTTGATCGAACCCGTGCTCTCACAAGAGCCTGAAATCTTCAAAATGATATGGAACAAAACAATTTGTTCGTTCTTTAAAACTGCTATCAAGACCGTAGCATCTCAGAAGCAGAGTATTGTCACAGTCTCCATTTTCAGCACTTGTAAAATTTCTGTACTCTTCTTTGTGCACAGAAACAAGCAAAGAAACAAAACCAGAGGAACCTAAGAAAAGAGAGACAGTGTCCATGATGCTGACAAAATATGCTGCTTACAATACCTTTCACCACTGTGAGCAGTGCCACCAGTATATGGATATTAATCCTGCGGCACAGGTTGGTGTCATGGGCCAAGCGTTAACTGCATCCTTGCTTTTCCTGTGGTCTCTGCAGACATATTGCTTTGTTCTCAGGACTCCTGCTTTCATCATCCCTGAGTTGCGGATGCTTAATTCTTTCATTCTCAGGGAAAATGTTGAGCCACAGACCTGGCAGTATCAACTGTGTCTGTTGCATCCTGCATATGCAGTTCACCTCTTCAGCTGCCTCTGAAAAGAGTCAATATGTGGCTAGTTGCCTCAAGCTGCAGCACTGCTCAGCTCCCCGAGCAGGCTCACTCTGTTTTGTGACAGAGACTAACAGAGATGCTTGTCTTACCTAAACACCAGCCATCAACATCTGTGCTGGGAGACTGGAAGCTCCTTTGCATGTGACTGTCCATGCTTCTCCACCTGTAGCTTTTGAGCTACTGGACGGAAGGCATCACTTTTAATAATCTTTTGATCTTCAGAACAAGCAGTTATGCTCACAGAAGGCTGGCAGGTAGGATTGTTCTTGGTTAATAGCTCAGATATTGTTTCTTAACCACCACAAATTATTTACTTGGGATTTTCTTATCTCAAATCTTTCTCTCCTTGTTTACTGTTAGCTTGCTGAACCTCACGCAGCATAGACACACTGACATGCAAGTGTGCAAGGTCAGTTTTATGGAACAGCACCAGCAGGTCTGATTGAAACCTCATTCTTCGTTAAGTATCTTGACACAAGCAAATCCTCCCAAAGGATGTCTGTTGTTCCCTCTCTCATCTTTGTGCAACTGGTCAAATGGGGTGATTGTGTGCTTAACTACTAGTAATACCGCTAAATATCTTTGTCACATCTAAGTGAGAATTAGGATAATTGAACACTGAGAAATTGCACACATAAGGAGGAGTCATTGGTGAGCAACCATTATGAAGGGAGAGAGATTCTTAAAACTCTTTAACAGGACTTAGCTAAAGCCCTTTTCATTTTTCATCTCTACCTAGGCCAATTATTTCCATCTCTAGTAAAGATAAAGAGAGGTGAGTGCTCAGAGTAATTGCTTTGCCCTTGAGGTAGATACATGCTGCTGTAGGATGGAGTCTTACAGAAGATTTGTAGGCATTTTGTACACATTTACCCAGTTCAGTGAGGTGCCATGAAAACTCAAGTTCACCAAAATATACTTGGTTATCTAGCTGCTTAGAAACAGAGTACTATCACAGGAAAATACCATACTAATGTGGTTGTGCTGCTTCTGGAGTCTCTGAATGACAAACCTCTACTCTACACTAGTCTCTGAATGTTCTGAGCAAATTTGTTTGGATGGTATTTCCTAGAGGTTGTATTTTGCACTTTTCTTTTTAAGAATTGAAAAAATATTTTCCAGGCCAAATGGGTTGTTCCTGACTAAGAAAACTGGTTGTTTCAATAGCAAGACACAAGGTACATGCCCAAGCAGTATGGCTTGTGGTGGAGCAAAATGAGAATATAATAAAGTTGACCGTAGTTCCTGAAAGACAGTGCCTTGGATGTGTTCCTCTGGTGGCTGCGTGCCACTGGTGACATGCAGGAGTAGACTGCCATATATATCGTATGGATTCCTAGCTTTTAAAACTTTCTCCCCCTTTTTATTTGTACAGGTGTCTGACTCCACCCTGCATGCTTTCACGTTTTCATCCTCAATGCTAGGAGAAGAGGTTCAACTGCATTTTATAATCCCCAAGTCCAAAGAGAACCATTTTGTCTTCAGCAAGCAAGGAAAGCACCTAGAAAGCATGCGTCTCCCTCTTGTTTCTGACAAGGTGGGTGTGTGCTGCCCTGTTCCATTGGCTGCCTGCCTGGACTGCATTCCATCGACTTGATGTACATTTGAAAATCAGTGGTGGTTTGTTGTTTTTTTTCCCATTTTTCCTCTTTCTTTTTTTAAGCCCTTTGTGTGATTTTTTTTCATCTGACTTGCCTTAAAACTGGAGTTTTGGAGGAGAATCCTCTCTTTTTCAATTCCACTGTACGTGTTGCAGTCTTACAATCCAACATCAATAATAACTAAATAAAAATTCACATCAGGAATAACATGTTTTTTTCCCTAATGATGGCAAAATATCTCCTGTTCCAGCAGAATTTGAATGCAGTCAAGAGTCCTATCTTCACTCCCTCAAGTGGTCGTCATGAGCACGGCCTCTTGAACCTCTACCATGCCATGGAAGGCATCAGCCACCTCCACCTCCTGGTAGTCAAGGAGTATGAGATGCCCCTCTACCGTAAATACTGGCCCAACCACATCATGCTCGTGCTGCCGGGCATGTTCAACAACGCTGGCATTGGTAAGAGACACTGTCAATGCACTGCTGTGAAAACAGCAGAAAAAAGTCTTTTGTGCCCTATTCACTTCTTTTACTTAGTCCTGCTGCCTGAATATTCGTTTCACATATTTTTGCATGTGATTTTTCAAATTACAACTTTTCTAGCTAGCTAAGGTTAAATATTAACTGCAGAACACTAAAGACTTTAACTTTGGACTTCATTCTCCTTCTTCATTCTCTGAGTTTCCTGAAAGAGGTTTTAAGTATCTTCAGTTTTAGGAGGTCAGCCCATTCTTGGCTAAAGTTATTCCTTAATGCTTACAAAACAATCTTCCGTAGAGTCTCTAAAGAGGTCTGTTTTTCTTGGAACCAGCCTTGTAGAATGTGCTCTCACAGAAAAAGGGACACATTGACTTCTTTTTAAACAAAGAGCACTAAGTTCATAAAAGGCAATGATTGCAGTGTTCACAAAGCCTTTCTCTGCTGTACTTAGTAGATTCTGAACTTCAGATGTGCTTGAGGTTTTTCTTGAAACCCCTCTCTGCACTCATTCAGGATGCCCTGATGGCCAGAAGGCCAGGGACGGGAAGAGAGAGTGATAAAGTCTAGTATAAAGATCTGTGTACATTTTCTATATGGTGTTTTCTCAGGTGCTGCCAGATTTCTTATTAAGGAACTTTCCTACCACAATCTAGAGCTGGAACGAAACCGCTTGGAGGAGCTGGGAGTCAAGCGCCAGTGCGTGTGGCCCTTCATCGTGGTCATGGACGACTCCTGTGTGTTGTGGAACATGCACAGTGTCCATGAGCAGTCCAGGTGAGTGACCACCCAGTGCTAGGGGACCCACACTGGCCTGTCACAGGGAGCAACACTGCTCCAGTCTGTGCCTTGTGACACTGGCCCATCTCCAGCACTTGGCAGTGAATGAACAATGACACCTGGAACAGGCCAGCACTGGGACTGCTGGGGATGTGCTCTAAATATTGCTAAGCTAGAGCTGTTTGGGGCCATGTCTTTGATATAGTAGCAACAGGCTCTTAGCCAAAGGGCCTCAAAGAGGTTATCAGTCATGCAGTTTTTATTCAGGCATTATAGGAGCTCTAGAACTGGCAGATATGCAACCTAAAATTCAAAAACGAGTTCATCTTTTCCTTGCCTCCATCTGCCCCTCATGCAGATGTGCAGGCTCACTGAAAATTTGTCTTGTTGACTGCCAAACCCAGGCTCCTGCTGCTGCACTGTCACTGGGCTCTACCCACAGTCAGTACTGCTAGTTCTCCTCTTTGCCTGTAACTTGCATTTAGTGCCTGTGTGGGACGGTTCCTCAATCCTTTACTTCCCTGATTCGTTTTATGTTTCTCAATGAAAACAGTTTGAGAACTCTAGCTTTTTAGAGGCATTAAGCTATTGCTCTTCTCAATGTTCTTCTGTGCTGTCATTTACAGAGAAAAAAGCCTTCCAAAATTGGTGCCTGAGGGGATCCCTTTTCTTCCTCCCCTAACTTGATATATAGGACCTAATTCTGCTTAAATGCCCGTTTTCTTGTGCTGAATTGGTTGATAGTACGGATAGGATTAGTTTGCCATAGGTTTTGCAGTTGATAAAAAACTGTGTACATATATGAATGTATACATTTTTACAGCATCTAGAATAGAGTCTTGAGGGTTAATGGGATTCCTTGGTCTTGTACCTATAGACGTCTCTGTCTATATGTATGTGTGACTACAAAGTGTGTGCTCTATAATGGCAGCAAGCCCACTTGGTGCGTTGTGTGTGATTGCATTCTGCAGCCAGCCCCTGGAGCCCGACGGTTCCAGCAGGAACGTGTCTCTGAAGAGCATTCTCCAGCACATTGAAGCCACCCCCAAAATCGTTCATTATGCAATCCTGGGTGTGCAAAAGTGGAACAGCAAGCTGAATGCCAGGAAAGCAAAAGCCCCGTTCTCCAGGTGCCACGTGCATGACTTTATACTGCTCAACATAGACCTGACCCAGAATGTGCAATACGATCTGAACAGGTAGGCAAAACATGTTGGTGGTAAAATTTGTTGGCCTGCCAAGAGGCTTGCCATCATACTTCTAAGGCTTCTGAGGTAATAGGATGAGGCTGTCTAAAGTATGAGAGTGATGTATGCTGCACTTGAACAAATAAGGCATCAAACCAAACATGAGTTCAGCCAGAGGAAGAGCTGGCTGAATCATCATCCTGCTCCTGCTGCAGCTTGTCAGGCTGAGAGCGGAAGGGCTCTTCTGCTCAGTCTCCAAAATACAACGTTACATGCCAAGAGGAAAAAAAAGAATCAGGAATGAGCTTTTCTTGTCGTAATCAGCACCTGTTTGTTGAGTAGGTAGGACAGGATTTGTGTCACCTGTTGTAGTTAATAAGAATTAAACCTCTTTCAGCTAGTTGTCCAGGCCTTCTCTGCAGGGAAAAGACCATTTCTGTGGGGTCGTAAGCACCTGGGGCTAAAGGTGTTTAGCTAAAGAGTGTAGATTGGACTAAAACACTCCAGGCAGTGCTTGTGTCTCTTTCAGCTACTGTTGAGGGAGACTAGTCAGATAACTCAGGTTATCATGAGATAAAAAGTATTTTAAAAGAAGAAGAGGGCGGGCGGGAATAGAAAAGAGAAGAATTGATCGTTGGCAACACGTGATGAGGGTGAGAAGGCTGCCCAAACTTTGTATTGGGAAGAAACATACATGCATGCAGGGAAGTGAAGATTTGTTTTGTCTTAAAATTATCTGCAGGTACTTTCCTGCACCAGGAGCACGTTGAAGAAGTGGATGCTAATAACTCTATAGGGAATTTGTATAGGAACCATACCAGATCGGCTATAAAAATCAACACTCAGCCAGTTCTGGTGCATTTTAGCTACCTGTGTGTGAATGCTTGGTTATTCACAGCAGCAACACAGCTAGTTTAGTAATTCTGTGTTTAATGTGCAGGTATTTCTGTGAAGATGTAGATTTTAACCTGAGGACAAACAGCAGTGGCCTGCTCATCTGCCGCTTCAACAACTTCAGTGTCATGAAGAAGCATATTCAGGTTGGAGGACAAAAGGACTTCGTGGTTAAGCCAAAAATCATGGTGAGTCTCTATGTGAAGGGAAAGATCAGGACCTGTTTTCTGTAGAAATACTGAATTTTCTACCCTTTAGATATGCTTAACATGCAACTTTCATGGCCTAATGTGTGGTAGGGCTGGACCACCATAAATAGAAGGCAATAGGATATTTTGCTATTTATGAATTATTAACAGTAACCCTCCTAATCTGTTGGAAGGTAAATCAGGATTGGAAGGAGCTTGGTCTCAGCTATTCACTGATTTGCCTGGTGGAGGGAGCACGTGGTCTGTTCCTGACCAAGAGCAGGCAGGGTGTCCCGTACCTGGTTTTAGTGTCGCCTGAACCGCCAGCACCTGCTAGTTTGTGGTGACTTTCAGTCCTTGTGTCTGGTGACAGAAAAGAGACCTGAGTAAAGGCACTGAAAATAGGAACCTCTGGAAATCTGAGAACTTACCAAAATGCTGTGGGGATACTGGGTGTTTTACACAGTGTGTGTTACACCTGCGCTTTGTTAACTCTACTATCTTCAAATGGAAATAAGTTTCAAAGCGTTGGCTTTACTTCTGTAAACCAGGTGGTGTTCCTGGTAGTTTTAAACCCTTCCCACACCATCTCTTCTTTAAAGACTTGTCCCTGTATTTCAGAGTCTCTCAGTGCCAGATTTGAGTATTTTGGAAGGCCATCTTCATTGCTTCTGAAATTTCCTTTTCTTATGGAATTGGTACTAATGCTTTGATACATGATAAAATTCTTCTGTAGAAAGGTTTTCTTTGCATCACCCAAGGAGGATTTAATTTCTTATTCTACGTGGGAGTAAGAAGGGATGATGGATGTTTTGTTAATGTAAACACTGCCTTTTTATATCCTTTTTTAGAAACTGAGATACCCGCAGGGGTCCTTAGCACCCACAGCACAAGTAACTCTTCAGTTTCCACGTAGTGGTAATGTGTTAAAATCCAAGTGGGGATTCTTTATTCTCTCCCACCGTTTCCTGGTTTCTTGCCGTCGTGGTGATGCTCTCCCGAGCAGCCTGGAGCCCTGCAGAGAAGCTGCCCCAGCAGCGGGGGCTGAGGCGGCCTCGCTCGCTCTCGTTGCAGGTCTCGGACGCGCTGGCGCCCATAGCGCCCCTGCAGTACGTGTGCGCCCCGGACAGCGAGCACACGCTGCTCGCGGCCCCAGCCCAGTTCCTCCTGGAGAAGTTCCTCCAGCACGCCACCTACAAACTCTTCCCAAAGGCCATTCACAACTTCAAGAACCCCGTGTTAGCCATCGACTGCTATCTCAACATCGGCCTCGAGGTACAAGACGTCTGCAGGGGAAATGGGGGCCAGTGAATGCAAACCTTTACTTTAACCTCTTGCTCCAGTGTTGAAAAATGCCTCTTGCGTGTTCCCCAGGTGAAGTTTGAAGACTTTGCCCTGAAACAGTGAGACTCCAGTGTCTCAACTAGATGACGAACTCCCCTAGAGAAAGACACAACCCTCTAGGCTGCCTCAGTCACCCCACGAGACACCCATGTACAAGCTCCAAAAGGTTAATAACCTCACAAGGTTAATAACCTCACCCAGCAACCAGAAACATTCCCACCCTCATGAATAAAGGATAGTTGCTTCTCTAAATTGCAGCCTGACAGGAAAACACCAACACAGCTGACAGTAGCTCCGGCAGACTCTCAAGACTCCAAAAAAATCCACTATAGTCACAGCAACATGTACAGTACAACAGCAAACTCAGAATTACAACCTAAGACACCTCAGTCTCCCCAAGCCAAGGAGACGGCTCAGCTCACAACACAGACAAGACTCACATCTCCCAAATAAGCCAAAAAACTAAACCAGAGAGGCAAACTGACCTACACTCAGCAACCACCCAGACCCAGCAGCAGACCCCACACCAAAGCGAGCATTTCATGCAGAGGGGAAGGAGTAGCCACCACCAGCAGCTCACCTAAAACAAAGTAAAACCAGTTTAAAAAAGGTCCATCATCATTGCTGCTTGGCTGTTATCCAGGGTCTGCAGTCCAGGGACACTTACGTTTTTGCAAGTACAGGGCAGATCATAATTTTTTAACCTACTGATCAGCTTGAGGCAGGCCAAAGTCTCACAGGGGGTTAGTTCTGACAAATTTTATGGATTTCAGAGAAGAAACTCTATTACAAGAGCAAATTAAAAAGAACCTTACAGTTGCTATAAGTAGGTAGTTCGCATACTATGGAATTGGGTTACAGAGAGCTCTGGAATGACACATGCAGGACTTACTTAGTGCCTGGCCTTGAGCTTGTTCCAGGAGTCTCTCTTCTCCGATGGTGTTGATTTTGTAGGTGAAGGCTGCTCAGAGCTGTTTGCACACTAGATTTTATTGCTTACCAGCACCAGCTTCTTTGCCTGCTACCACTGATTTATGTTCCCTTGCAGTACAAAAGCCTTGCTGAGGCATTTCCTAACCCCGAGGTGCTGTCTGGCTGTTCCCCTGTGCTCCAGGTGGCCATCTGCTACGTGAGCTCCCGGCCGCACTCGGTGAACGTCAGCTGCGAGGGGGTGTTTTTCAGCGGCCTCCTGCTCTACCTGTGCGACTCCTTCGTGGGCGCAGACCTGCTCAAGCGGTTCCGCTTCCTCAAAGGTACCGGGGCTGCTCTCCCGGCGTGCCCGGGCCTCCTGCTGAGGAACAGCACAGAGCACGACTGAGAGAGCCAAAGAGGGAGGGATTCGTTAAAATAAATAATAATAATAATAATTCCTTGAAATAATAATTAGAATAGCTCCCCTTTCACAATTAATGCTGCTGAGTGGATGGGTTGTTTATTATTTTGACGTGTAGCAAAACTTAGGCCCCTGTTAGAAGTAAAGGCCGGTAAATTAAGTTAAGCTTTGATTAACAGCATTCATTAAATTATGTTAAATTAACATGGAGTGCGAATCGGTGCAGAGGAAGAAGGGTACATGGAAATTGGTCGGTGAACTGAGGCATCGCCAGCTGCAAGGGGAGTTTGGCGCTTGGCTGTTCCTGTCCAAGCAGAGCTCGGCCTGCAGCTCTGTTGGCGGGGGCAGCCCTTCCCTGAGGACGGGGGTTTATCCCCCCGCGCGGCGCCCGCCCTGCCCAGGGCCTCCCTCGCCGCGCGGGGCTCAGCAGTGACGGGTGAGCAGTGGCCGCGGGTGCTCCGCAGCGCTGTGGCGCGGCCGTCCTGGCGCTCGTGGGGGCCCCTGAGCTGCCCTAGCCCTGGCGGGGGCTGGTGGGAGCTGCATGGGGATCTCTTTTTTCTTCTTCTTTTTTTTTTTTTTTCATCATGCAATCTTGTTCTCTTAGATATAGCCACATGTGCAAACAGATACAGGTTTACTACAGGTTACAAAGCTCAACACCTGAGAACTGCAGCTGCCCTAGATAGTCCAGGGCCGCTGGGGTTTTTGTTTCATTTTGTTTCTCGGGGTTTTCTGCATGAAAAAGGCCAAGGATGCCTGGCAATAGGGCCTGTCCTCACTGCGAGCCTGTGGGCGGGCACTGAGCCTGGCGCTTCCACAGGCCACAGCTGGGGCGCAGAGACTGTCCTGAGGGATCCTGAGCCCGGCTTCACAGCGGCAACCACGGCCGGAAGGAGGCCCATGGGTTTGTTAAACGGGAGGAGTCCGGAGCTCCGTTTGTGCCTTCCCTTCGCCCAGGGAAGCTCTTGCCCGTGAGGGAAGCTGGAGCAGCTCCTCAGGAGCCGGCTCTGGCCTAACGCCGTTCAACAGGGATCTTGTGCAGAACAAGTGCTTAACTAAGGGGGGGCGATGGGGGCAAAGAAAAAGCCAGGCTTGATCCCAGTGGCATAATGTGATCCAGAGGTTCTTCGATTCAGGTTAATTCCACGTCTGCTCTGGTTGATGCTACTAAGGCTAGCCAGACTCTCACAGGTTTTCTCTTTGTGTTTAATGAGAACTGTCCTGCCTTGCGTTTTGTCTGTCTGTGGTAACGGAGCCGCTGAGGCGCCGGGTGTCGCGTGTCCCCGCAGGCGCCACCCTGTGCGTGATCTGCCAGGACCGCAGCTCCCTGCGCCAGACCATCGTGCGCCTCGAGCTCGAGGACGAGTGGCAGTTCCGCCTGCGCGACGAGTTCCAGACGGCCAACAGCAGCGAGGACAGGCCGCT